TTTAATGTATTTATTGACTGTTTTTAGCTTTGTTGTACACTGCCCAGAGTCACCTGTGGTGAGATTGGTGGCCATATAAATTAGTTTAATAACTAATTAATTAATGAATTCAGTTTAATTCAGTTCCCTGAATCTTCTGATGCTCCCTATTGGAAATTCTGAACTGATTCAGAGCATTGGATATTGCTAGTTGGCTGAAAAGATGCATGACCGTGGGGCAGAAGGACCATGGCAATGTTAGAGAAGTAAATGGGAGCAATCTTATGCAGGTGGGCTTAGAAATAACCCTCACTGAGATCGTTAACCCTTACTCTTCAGGAAGTATCCATACCTCATCTCCCTAGAAGCATTTTTAAAAGCATTAAGATTAAGCATAGTGAAATACCTGCCTAACTGGAATGATAAACAACAGAATACCATGTCATGATTCACGAAGCAATCGCTTCTACCCGATTTCCCATGTTTCCCTAGTGATTATGGAGAAATTTGCCTCTAATTGGGAATATCAAACTGGCTTTGCAGATTAGCTTCTCATTTTAGCAGCGTATGACTGATGTTTTGAGGAATGGGTGCTAGTAGAAAATGGCTGCTGGACAAATGAAGTAGACCTGGACTTCCTTCTCCATCCTATCTCATGGATAGAGACAGCTATAGCAGAAATCACATTTTTTTTTAAATGAAATATACACATGAATTTGTTTGGCAGCTAGTAGGAGTTGAAGGAACCATTAAAAGCAGAGCTATCTCAACGCCCAGGCAAAGCATCTACTTTGAGTCATCCTTTGCAGAATGAGTGGGATACCCCTTTAAGGAGTCATGAAGTGGGGTTATTTCCTCAACAAAAGGGAATATAATGCTTTGAGTTTTGTTTTTTTTAAAATTGAGATGCAAACCGGAATTTCAGCAACTGATTCACCCTGCACTGAGCTTTAGGAATAATAATAGATAACTAGATTTTCTTTCTACTTTTAAGCACCTGAGCAATTCTGAGAACCATTTAACAAATCCACAGAACTAATCCCAAGATCATTTCTTGCTTTCTTTTCCTTGTTTTTCCTAAGAATGCATAATGCGTGCTTTATTTGTCAAGTATGCTTTTTGATTTGTCTTTATTTGGAAAGCATTGTTTTATTTGTCTTTATGTGTGAATATGCCCTTTCTTAAGCTATGCGGTTTTGCTCTGTCTTCTAATGCTGCTCTTCTGTTTTGCTATAGTGAATAAAAAATTAATTCACACATAAACAATGCAACAAACTTTGGTCTTTTAAAAGTATCACCCCATTGTACATTTTGCAGAGATGGAATTCTGGTTTTACTTTGGTGAAATGCAAATAAGAAATGGAAGGCAGACAGCTTTCAGGTTATTTTCTTATTGGCCATCCAGGTTCTGTTCAGCCTGACTTGTAAAAACCAACAGCAGTGAAAAAACAACTTTAATTTGAATCCATGAGATGAGGCACAGACTCTTGGCAAACCGAAGGTCAAAATATTTGTGATCTCAACATAAACACCTTTTGTTCGAGTTGTCATATTTTGTTGCACCGTGTGAAAAAAAGCTGAACCTGAAATGGCACTCGCTGGATAAAAATTTCCATTTAAAAACATTATTGAAAATAGTTAAAGAATCTTTTTAGAGCTTTCTAAACATTTTTTTCTGGCTCCAAGCAGTCTTTTCTTTTGTTCAGATGCTACTCAGTGGTTCTTAAAACTCAGCATTTGCTCTGGGTCCAACCTACATTGAAGATTCTTCAATATATTTTTTTCACTTGTTCCTTACTGTGAAATATGCAAGAGAGCACTATTTTTCTGGGGTGGGACTGCTCACGGATGCAATAAAATTAGACATATTTTTCTGGGACGCAGCATTTGGTTCAAAGGCATCCACTGGATCATCATTATCATTATTCCATGATCCACTGGATCATCATCAAAATGAGGAAAGCAGCGTCACGCTGTCCCAACACAAGATCTGCCCCTCTTGTTCATGGGAGCAACATCTCAAGATGATGGTGTCCTTGTAATGCTGCTTTGGTCATTTGTCTTCCCCTGCTCAGGCCTTTGATTTAGTTGGTTAATCAATTAGATGACGTGATTACAACATGTTGATAAAACATGTTGAGTCAGTGTTAAGTTCTTCTTGTTCCCCAAAGCAGAATAGCAAGCGCTGTTAAGAAGAAGGCAGGAGCGCTCTTGGGTGGGTGATTGGAAAGGGGAATTATACTTCTAAAAAAATATTTACTTGGCCACCTGTATATTATCTAAAAATAAATTATGTTCTCTTTCATTGGTCACTCAAAGACTTTTGGAACTAAAGAATGTAAGTCACAATTAACTTTTCACTTTGGTTTTGATTGCATCTCAATGAGATTTAGTTCTGTCTGATGCTGATGTAATTTTATGCAAATATTGCTGACTTAAAGTTCGTATGGAAGTGGAACAAATAGGCTGGATCAATTCACAAATGGACATTGCAACTGTTTGGGGGGAAAATCATGAGTTAGTTGCAGGTCCACCTCTGATGAACCACTTCTCAGAAGCATTTGACACATTTATCCATTTGCCAGCTGGGCTGAATGCCTGTTATTTACTACTTGAAAAGATTTGAGGGACAGATCCCTAGCCATAAAATGTTCTATCCTTAAATGGGATAGGAATGGAAAGAAAGATAGGGCTGTTCTGTTTCACAAAACACCCAACTTTATATACCTCAGTGGGCCTGGGGACCCCAGGTTGATATGGAGCTGATCAAGTGGTTGATTTGATTGTGTTTGTAGCTGCCGCAGGGGTGGGGGGTTGGTGGGCTTTTTGTATTGTGGATTTTAATTCTGTAAGCTGCCCGGAGTCACTGTGTGTGAGCTGGACAGCCATATAAGTTGTTTAATAAATAAATAAAATAAATAATACCTGTGGGGCAGATCTAACCTCAGTATTTGGCATGATAAGACAACTGAGGGACCCAACTCTTCAGAAGGCCCATCACTTATCTCAGACCCCAAACTAAACCTTTGTCCTTCCAACTGGGCAACTGAATCTCTTGGTCATTTAATGTTCCTACAGTACCCCAGACTGACCTTTCAGGAATGATGGAATTAAAAATGGCATCCAGACTGCAGAATGTTAATGCCCACCCATGGGTTTGGCCAAGAAAACAGCACAGCCATATTTTCTCCCCTGTTTCTCTCCCTCTTCAGACTTGGAGCCCTGACTGTTAGGCTTCAAAACATTAGTCCATTTAAATAGAAAGAAAAATGTCTAAACTTTCTGGGTCTTCCCATCCATTGATCCCACTTTGGTGAAGAATAACCCCCACCACAAACGGTAACAAAGCAAATCAGTGAGCCAGCATGTCCTGTTAACCTGCAAGATAAGAGATGCAGTGTCTAATCATGATTAATGTAACCTCTGCAGACTTGAAAGCAGAGAAAACAGATGGGGGAAGTAAGGGGGGGGGGAAGAAACCTTTGTTTTCTTTTGTCAATTTGTCGGCCATGTCCCAATGTTCGTAGCTCCGCAAGACGTTGTTGGTGATGTTGACGTGGCTGGCAGCCATGTGGTGGATACGCTGGGGGATGGAGACAGTCCCCACCGAAGAGGACCCTGCAGCGCTTGCGGTATTTCCAAGGTTGCTGATGGGCGAGGGGCTCAGAGACATTGGGGATGGCGTTTCTGTGCTCCTGAGAAAAGGGTAAAGAGCCAGGTTGATTTCATTTCTAACCCATCTTTTGTTGAGAACCGGGGCTGATCTAGCTGACCCGATCAAACACATCTAAGTGGTCTATACGTACACCAAAACAGATCACAGGCAATAAATATACATAAATTGGTTTAATAAATAAATATGAGGTGGCTCCCTAATTTTTAACATCCTTTTATTTTCTGTTCTATTTTGCTTTTTATATTTTTAATGTATTGATTGGTTGCTCTTCGCTTCATTGTACACCGCCCAGAGTCACCTGTGGTGAGACGGGCAGCTATATAAATTGGTTTAATAAATGTATAAATTGTTTTAATAATACACGAATAAACAAACAACACTGCCGTATAATATAGCCATAAACCATCATCCCATTCTAATCTTCACAACGTCATATCTGTGCCACACACCTTCCAGGTTTCGAATTATTGCATACTTAATCTCCAAATGCTTGTTTCAATAGCCGAGGTTTAACAGTGGAAAGATGGAAGAGAGATTCCTCCTGATGTTTGATTACCATTCCAGCTTCTAAGGATTCGGAGGGGAGGAACAAAGGAAGAGTTGGAGAAGGCGCTGTGTGAGACACTAGTCACCCGGCTGATCTGGAGAGTTTGCACGCTCGATGGAAGAATATTTAACAGCAGCGTGGATCTCTGAAACTGGTGTTACCAAAAAGGAATTTACCTTATTGCCATGGAAACCACCAGGAAGATACTCCCGCTCCAAAGATAGGTGTGTATATGTCTGCATGCATGCTAATGGATTCTCCTACTTCTGCCTTAGCATTGCAGCATGAAAGCAAAAGTCAGAGAAAAGAATACGCAACCATGCCTAAGCACCCATTTGACCTGATTTTCCCAATCTCTAGCCATGGATGATGAACTTTGGGCCAGTTTGTTCACTGACTCCCTCTTTGGGGGGAAGGGCTGAGGGATCTCCAACAGGTAGTTGAAAGCATGTTTCCCAGAATCCCCTAGGATGTTCCAAGGAGGAAGCTCAAACAATTGAACTGCTAAAGTCCTAGAATGCCATCTCGATTCAGTGGGTCTCCTTCAATATACTTATGGAGATGGCCTTCTTCTTACTCAGATGGTTATTTGTACCGCCAAATGAATGCTAAAAACGCAGAGGAATGTATGGGAGAGATGTTCGCTTTAAAGATGGCCTCAACACACTTTAAACAAATAACCATGCAATTGCCATAAATTTAGGGCTATCTCCTAGCCCCAAATCTCACAGTGGCACCCCAAGGTGATTTGGGGCAACGTTCCAAAGAGAAAACTTTGATTAACTGCTGTCTTCAGTCGGATTTGTTTACTTTGTACGGTTGGTTGACTAATAAACACCAAACTGAACTTGGGCAAATGAAAATGATTCAGGCTTTTTTCCCCCCTTAAAGTCTTTCAAATTTCCCTTCATGCTGTGAAGATTATTTTCAGACTGCTAAATTAAAAAAGAATCCAGCTATGCAATATGTTCTCAGATCCCAAGATTCCCTATGGAAGCCAATCATGAGCCCAAAGGCTGTATCTAATTTGCATATTTTATTAACATCATTCCATTGTGCTTGACAATTAATCTGCTGGATATTGTGACGAGTGCGTTTCTGTCAGCCGTTTCATTTTATTTTTTTCAGACTGAATAGTTAGCATCTGTCTCTTGCTAATATTAAAAAAAGTAATGCAATAGCCTACTTCGGAAAGTTGAGGTGAAATCTAACAGGATTGATGCCAGATGATGGTGATGGTGATGGTGATGATGATGGAGGAGGAGGAGGAGGAGGAGGAGGAGGAGGAGGAGAAGGAGAAGGAGAAGGAGAAGGAGAAGGAGAAGGAGAAGG